CCCACATGGGGGGCAGTGCCCCAGCTGGACAGGTGGGTGGTTGCTGTCGAGAGAAATGATTTTCCCTTGCTACTTCTGCGGATTTTGAGATTTACTTCCAGTTTAATTCTGTTTTTTAAAGTGAAGCATTTCAATCATACGTTAAGGAGGGAGGGAAGAGTGCCCCGCCCAGGCCTGGGTGGGTTCTGCATGACGGCCCGTGTTCACCTGGCACAGGTCCGGGCCCGGGTGTGTTCTGCATGACGGCCCGTGTTCACCTGGCACAGGTCCGGGCCCGGGTGTGTTCTGCATGACGGCCCGTGTTCACCTGGCACAGGTCCGGGCCCGGGTGGGTTCTGCATGACGGCCCGTGTTCACCTGGCAGAGGTCGTCTTCTGAGAAGCTACAGAGGACGTCAGGGCGTCCGTGTCGGTTTCTTCCCGCAGTTCTCGTGGTAGAGACACGTCACGCAAAATGACAGGCCTGGAGCAGCCTGCCTGGCCCCTCTCCGCCGCCTCCTGGTTCACCAGCTGTGGGCGGTGGGGGCCAACGCTCCATGCCCCGGTTCCCTCGTCTGTAAAAGATGATGCTGTGTCCATCTGAGGGGCCGTCGTGAGGAATCTGGGAATGACCGTGCAGGGGGCTGAGTGCCTTGTTGTGGCTGAGGTTTCGTGGGTCAGAACGCGACTATTTATTCACTTTACGTGGGTGCAGGTTGTGGCTCACCGTTACACCTCGGTAACCTTGACGGGAAAACTAGATCGTGTGCCGTGCTGAGGACGGTGCCGGGGGTGGTGGCACACCGTCGCCGGAGCTTTGACCAGCTGCCGCGGTGCCAGGTGCTCCTGGGCAGCCGGGACAAGCCCTCCGTTCTGTTTGGGGCATTTCTAAGAGAATCATGAGACCGAAGTTAGGTTTTCACCAAAAGCAGGCTTGACGCTTGTCAGCTGCTTACACGTGATCATTCGTGTGCCTGCTTTACCGGGATGGTCTTGAGCTCCTTTGCAAACCGAGGTTCACGGTGACCCTTCTGTTTGTTTCTAGCATCCCTACCCGACAGAAGATGAGAAGAAACAGATCGCCGCCCAGACAAATTTGACGCTGCTCCAAGTTAACAACTGGTGAGCATGCCGCTCCCCTCCTCGTGCCCCCCAGCGTCACGAACGCCTGGAAACGCCGCCGCCAGTGAATAGCGAAGTCTGGTGGAGAACACGCGGATAGTGCTCCTGCCTGAGGGCTGGGGGCGCTGGCAGGACCCCTCAGAACAAGCCAGCACGCTTCCAGCGCCCGCTCTGAACGCTCAGCACCTCGCTGCGGGCTTTTCGCCCACGCCCCGCTTGCCCGATTAGACAGGTTTCTCCGCCGGGTGACCTCGGAGCGCTGATGCTCTGGGCAGTGGGTGGCAGAGGTGAGGTAGGGTGACACCGGTGGCCCCCTCTGCAGCTTCCCACCTTTCCAAACCTTGCGTCCCGCTGTTGGCTGTGATTGGGGGAGGCAGCTCCCAGGCGTCCAGGTGGTGGCCCTGCCCCTCAGCGGGGTGTGAGGAGGGAACCGCCCAGGGAGATGTTTGCTTTATCAGTGAGACGTCCTGCTCCAGCTCTCGGGTCCCGCGTGACGGGGACACCTGGACCCTGACCCCGTGTTTTCCCCTCAGTGAGGGCGGTCCGCTTGTAAGTGGTGCGAAGGGCTGGGGCGCGCTTAGGAAGTGGTTTCCCCTTAATAATTGGCACGTGTGAAAGCAGAGAAAGCACAGGCCACCGCTGGCGACACGGCCGCCTTCCCGTTCTGACCGTTCAAGTTTGAACTCGAAGGCCCGATGAGTCCCATGGAGATGGCAGCCTCTTCCAGCCTGCGCGGTTACACGTGCAGAGGGTGTGCTTTGGCGCTGCGTTAAACGTTGCTGCTGCCTGCGTCTGCGCCATCCTTTCGGAGTTGGGTCGCGATGGGAGACCACGCTGTTTGCATGATTTCCCGTTGCTCTGTTGAGCGGCGCTAACGGATCCGCGGCCAGTCCGCGGTCACCACGTGCCTCGCCGCTCTCGTGTAGTTGAGTCACGACAGCGATCGATGGGTCGATGGATGGATCGATGGATCGATGGATCGACGGATGGGTCGTTCGGCTCTTCCCTTGCTTCTGTCACCCTGTCACCCTCTCCTTACTTTTCTTTGTTTAGTGACTTCCTCGTGTTCCCTAACTTAGTGCCCCGTGGCGTTCGCAGAATTATCTGGAAAGTTTAACATCAACCTTTAATTTGTTAAGTTACTAACAGTTTAATAGTGTGACTTTCGTAAATTCTAAAGTTTCTGAAATCTTAGTCACTTGTAGCTGATTCACTCCATGACTGTTCATTTTCTCGTATATTCACAAAACTGCGTTTTGGACTCTGAACCCACCGTCGGCTCCCGGCTCCGCCTCCACCTCGCGGCCACTTTGCACGAGGGTGGAGAGGCAGGTCCGGGGGACCGCAGGGCTATCGATCGGTCTCCCAGTCCAGGTCCTGCTGTGTGACAGGGACGGAAGAGTCGCTCTGCATGAAGCCCCGTGCTGCCAGTCGTTTACACTGGGACGTGTCCAGTGCAACCTTACGTGTTCTGACATGTTTGGATTTTAAAGTTCAGCAGCCTGAGAGCCGGTCCGGGTCTAGTTCTCTCGTTTGCGTGTGAGGACATCGAAAGAGAGGCCGCCCCCACCCGACGGCCGGCCAGACTCAGGGTCTGAGGCCATGCTTTCTTTCCTGCCCTGCCCTGGACGCCACTTGGCTGTTCCCTGAGGTCCACCTTCGGTAGAGGAGCATGTGCCTCTAGCGAGGGGCTGACCACCGATCACTCGCGCTCCTGGGAACGGGTGGCAGGACGGCTGGCGAGGTTTCCTGTGCTGGGTCAGGGTGCCGTGGAGTCCGATCAGCTTCTGGGGAGACGGGCTCTGCGGGCGGCCACCGTGCCCTTCGCCCACGGGCTGCACAGCAGACTGCGGGGGGATAGGCCGCCTCCTGGCCTCAGCCCCCTGCTCTCCCACGTCGGGGGGCAGCGGCTGGGGTTCTGGGAGCGATGGAGATGGCCGAAAGTGCGCATTTCAGCGGTACCGTCATGCGCGTCTGCGTGGCACCACGGCCCGCCTCGCCGCCATCCAGGGCGTTTCTGCTGCTCTTTTTACGTGGCGTCAAGTCACGAAGTGAGGCTTAGTCCCTAAGAGCCGCTGACGTCTGTGATTTTATGGTTCCGGCGTGCGTCTAGAACAGCTTAGTGACTCGCGACTTTGCCATCTAAGCAATAGCTCATCAGCTGGAGTCGTCTGTGGACGAGACAGAACTCCTGCCTCAGGTGACCTCTGGTCACGCCTGGAGTCACACCTGCGTGCTCCAGGGTCAGGCCTGTCACACCCAGGGACCGGCAGGCAGAGACACAGGCCGCACGGGACGTAGTTTTGCCACTTAAACCTTTCTCTCCCTTAGAGAAAATAATGTCACGTTCACGGCTGTGATGGTGTCATCGCTGTCGTAAAGACCAGCGAATCCACAAACGACTAAATCAGCCGAAGTGGAAAGCAGGGACGCAGAGGAGGGGTCTTTGTTGCGATGAACCATTGTAAGGACAGCACGGCCTGCTTTGCTGGCCGCGCAGGCGGAAGGCTCGTCTCGACGCCGGGTCTGTCGGAATGAGAGTCTGCGGCACTGTGTTTCTCGTACCGTGTTGCAGCAGCCTGTGTACCGGGAGCCCCTGTCGCTCCTGCGGGAGGCCTTTAAAGAGGCCGTTGGTGACGGTTGTCCCTTTGTCGACCTCACGCCCAGGTTCATCAACGCCAGGAGACGGATCCTTCAGCCGATGCTGGATTCCAGTTGCTCAGAAACTCCGAAAACGAAGAAGAAGACTGCTCAGAACAGGCCGGTTCAGAGGTTTTGGCCGGACTCCATCGCATCGGGAGCCGCTCAGCCACCGCCCAGCGAGCTCGCCATGTCGGAAGGTACGGGCCGGGCCCCGGGCAAGCGTGCGGCGACACCGCGGGGCGGGTGGTGACCGTAGGCGAGAGGCCCTGGCTGGCCGTCGGCCCCGTGAGCTCGGGCCGGGAACCGAGGTGTGTGCGGCTGCCATTTTTGCCTCGGAGACGTGAGGAAGGCGGTCCCTGGGGAGCGTCACTCGGTGCCCGTGAGGGAGGGGGCGCCACACCAGGGACAGAGACACGCACACCCGAGGCTCAGCACGGGCACTGTCCTCCGTCCTGGCCCTGGCCCTCGGGCCAGAGGGTGGCATCGTCCCTTCTCACTGCCCCGCACTGGCCCCCTCACCCCTAAGTCCCTGCCACCTTTATCTTGCTTTCTCTCATCCCCTGGGACCCACCCCCTCTCCCCTTGTCACGGGCCACCACCCCGGCCTGCTTTGATTCTCCAGTCACGGCCGTCCTGCCCTCTCCCCCACCCGCTGGTCATTTGTGTTCTTGTGGCACCCTGACCCCCGAGACCTTCAGCGAGCGCTGAGGCCCGTCCTCGGGACAGCTTCCCAGGTCCCTGCCGAGCGACCCAGAAACACAGAGGGGTCTCGAGGCGAGGTCAGGTGAGCGAACAGCACCCCGCTGGGGGGCAGAGCGTGGTGACCACCCCTTTCTGCCGCAGGAGCTGTCGTGACGATCAGCACGCCCGTGAGCGTGAGTGTGGACAGCCTGCAGTCTCTGTCCTCGGACGGGGCCACCCTGGCCGTGCAGCAAGTCATGATGGCCGAGCAGAGCGAGGACGAGTCCGTGGACAGCCCGGGGCCCGGCGGGGCCGCGCTGGCCCCCGCGCACATCGGCGGGCTGGTCCTGGAGAACAGCGACTCTCTGCAGTAGGGCGGGCGCCAGGCCCCGGTGGCCAGGGCCCAGGGCGGGGCCTGGCTCCTCCCAGTTTGCACAGCAAACGTTTTACACAGTCCCGTTTCTAGCCTGTTCATACGTAGATGTCGGAGAGTGCACTTTTGTATTTCGCGGTGAGCTTCAGGAGCGACGTCTCTCACGCTGTGTGCGCGCGTGTGTGCGTTCGGGGGCTTCGAGGAGATTCTTTGAAGGTTTAACGCTAAAAGTGTGAGGAATGACAAACGCCCCCATGAGCCCTCACTAGATTAAGGAGCAGTGCTGCCATTTGCTAGAAATGACGCAGTGTTAACTGAGTTCTGCGGGCGAAGCAGGTCTTGGCGGGCTGATGTGTGCGTGTAGCCCGCAGGCTCGGAAGAAGCTTCTGCACCTTCAAGCTGCCCGTGCGAGGTGGACAAGACACCACAACGGCCCGAGCGCGGCCTCGCGGGACGTACGGCGACTTCAATACGTTTTGAGTTCTCTCGTGTTCAGTGAGCCTGTTTCGTTTGCTATATATAAAAAGAAACTCCTATTTTTACCTTGCTGGAATTATTGGATAAAAAGCTATTTTTATAAATTCGTTATGAATTGGATTATGACTATATTGAGGATAAAATTTTTAGAGAGGAAACCATACACGCTTACTATCTCGATTCGGAGTGTTCCGAATCGACCAAATTTAACGAACCTGCCCCAAGTTAGTTCGGGTGGTAATCGACATTTACTACTGGAAAAGAAACAGCTATTGAATGAAATTTTGATATCTTCAAACTTTAGTTTATATGTAAATGCTCAGATTGCATTTTACAGTTGACCTAAACACATGTCTAGATAGGACTTAGCTAAGGGGAGTGACGTGTAGCCGGGAGTCAGTTAAAAGCTCTCACCGCTCACATTTCAGTCGGAGCAAATTCCACCACAGTTAAATGGCGGCTACACCATGGTAGCCTGCGTCGTTTTAGAGTTTTTTTAGTCAGCCATGTCATTCATAGAACGTTTATTGTAAACTAATAGAAAGCGTCCTCTGTCCCACGGTCAGTAACGTTCAGCTTCCTTACGTAAGTGACGGAGGTCCACGAAGTGACAGGAGCGAACAGGACGGTGCTGACAGCAACGCTGACACCCCTGCTGGTGGCCGCACACGCCGTCGCTCCGGGGGGGGGCGGGGGGATCGGTGTTTTCTCCTTGTAGTGTGGCTTCGGGCTTCCCCGAGCCTCCCCTCTGGCTCTGTCACATGGGGTCTGGGATAACGCTGGGGCTTCCGTTTCTTGGTGACAAGACGAACCGAGAGCGTAGACTGGGTTTTGTTTACTTTGGTCGGTTTGCTTTTATTCATTTGCTTGCGAGTGGGGCTCTTTCTCAGAAACGGCACCTTCTCCATCAGGAAGGTCTGTGCGGATCTTGGCGGGGTGCCCGGGATTCGGTGCGTTGTACAGGGCGGCTTCGTGGCCGGGGGTCATCGGTTCTTGAGATTCAGCAGCCGTAGCGGGCTGCACAACGGGTTTCTCAGAGGGATGTTTTGAGCTAGCGCAGGTTTTTCTGGGACCGATTTTTCCTTAAAAATGTATTAAAGTTAATCCTAGGAAAGTACTTTCTAGATAACCTAGAATGCACCAAGAAATAATAGAAATTTCTTTAAAAATATTTCAGAGCTTTAGAAAGAAAAATTTGACTGTCTTTTCTGGGGAGAAAGTCACATTTTTAGGCAGCTGTTGCATTCCCTATTTATAAACAGTTTTTAATGTTTTCAGTCTACACACGTTGGATTTGTTCAAAGCAGGACCCATGGAAGCCAGCCAGCCTGTCCTCCTCCCGCCCCCGACAGCTGCCCTGCTCGTCAGGTTAGCCAGTCACAGAAGGTGGGCTCCTCGCAGCCCCCGAGCCGTGGGCACCAGAGCAGCGGGAGGTTAGCTGAGGGCCGTGTACACTGTCAGTTTGGATGCGGGGGCCGAGTCGGGGTTCGTCCACCCAGCCCGGCCTGAGGCTTGACAAGCCTCCAGCCCTCACTGCGTGCACAGGGTGAGGGCCCTGACGACGCCGTCTGCGGTGCCTGGCCCCGACTCGCAGGCTGGTTGGGTCCCCAGAACCACAGCCCGCAGCCCGGCCTGTGTGTCATCAGTTTGCCCGTTTTCCAGCCCTTGGATATTCGAGAGATTCTGTAAAGTACACCCGTTGGGCCTCCATTGTAAATGAGTGGATTTGACGGGACTGTTGAGTACTTGCTAAATTCTTTCCTCACAAAGGGGCTTTTGGATGTGTTTTGAGAGCCAGGGTGTGCACGTTTGTACCCCGGGCTTCGCACGCCCCAGGCCCGCCCCGGCCCAAGCCCCTCCCTCCCCTCACCTTCAGCCTCCAGGCTCAGGACGGTAAGACAGATGTGGGTTCATCCGGGATGCAGAGGGAGGAAGCGGGGCACCAGCTGCTCACAGGCCCAGGGCAGCGCGGCTCGGACCTCACACCTAGTTCCAGGAGTCGGTTCCGTGTGGCCTGCCCCACTGGGCCACCCGTCTTTGACCTGTGAGAGAAAGCGTCAGGGCACTGATTTCTTTAGACAAATTCTGACACAGTCGGAAGGTGTGAAAAGCCCATCTCCGGCAGTTAGTGACAAATAACTCGGCCATCTTCCTTCGTTTTAGTTACGTTTGGTCTATGAACTGACAATCTTCAAAATGTGAATACTGTAACTATGTTTTCTTGGATTGTTGTCTTTGAAAGGGATTTTTGTGAAGCAATTGATTTATCCAAGCAAAAGTATTAAAAATAGAAACATGCTTTATGGATGTTTTATTTTCTGAAGCTCATGTCACCGCAAGCCGCTTTTCCATTTTAAGCATTCGGATTGCTGACAGGTTTTGCTGGTGGCAGACACGTGGGTTCGTAGTGACCCCTGTACGTTTTAAAAATTAGGGTTGCACTGGGGCACTCAGAGCCATTTAACTTTCAAAAATCTTAAATTACTTTAGTCATTGTTTTTCCAGGAAAAAATTGGAAAATTTTGTTTTTTGTTGTATTTTGTCATAAATGTAATTATCTTGATAGTAACGAGAAGAAAACGACTCATCAGTAAGGTGCTGCCCCTCAGTCCATACTGTAAACCCCGTGGCAGGGCTGCCCCCCCCCCCCCAAGAGGCATGCATGCGGGGACAAGCCCAGGGTGCTGTTTCTCTGCAGGACAGTGTCCTGACCCCTGAACTGCACGCCTGGAGGCTGACGTGCGTCGTCAGCAGATTGTTTTTAATGCGCATCTAAGATCGTGAGTCTTGCAGGAGTTGAGGACTCACAGCTCTGAGGTGTGTTGTTTTAGGAAATCCTGATTTGACAGAAAGCGAGTCGCTGAGCTGTCTCCAGCTGCTCAGGTCAGAGGTGAGAGCTAGCCAGGAGAGACCTCAGCCAGCCCTGGACTGTCACCTCCAGGCTCTCAGTGCTGCTTTTGTAAAAGGGAAGGAATTGGTTGATAAGGGTTATTCAAGTTCACAAGTACTACTTATGACTAATGAAATTTGATCCAGAGACAAAGAGTAAATAATGACCCAGCAAATCCTGAAAATAAGAAATAGATTTGGATCCAATGTTTAGCGTTTCACATTTTGTCACGTGATGCAGACGTCCTAAAAAAGATATGTATCACGTTTAGCCTACATATGCTGCTGTATACACTCTAAGAAGAAACTCTTAGCACAAATTATCTTTGCCCTTTTTACAGTTAGCCTCGTACCTTCGCTGAGACGTGAGATAGCTGTACCGTTTTAAAACGAAATTGGCAAAACTGGACGCTGCAGCATCGAGGCACATGTGACGCCGTGCAGGGCGTGCGGGGCTGGGAGGCGGGCGTGCGGGCCCCGGGCTGGCCCTCCTGAGAACCCGCATTCTCCATCAGCCGGGAAGACGCAGGGCTGTCTGGCCCAGCAAGCTCTCGTCCAGCTCGGCCCTGGTTGGCCTAGAGGACTAATTAGTGCCGCTTAATTAAATAACTTAGTATTTTACGTACAGCTACTATTTAGAAGGCATTACCTTGTACAGATGTTTGATTTTTACAGCGTGATTTAAAGGAACCCAAGACCTGAGCCGATAAAAGCCAATAACGGCCTTAATACAAATCAGGAGCTCTTTTATCCAGCATGTTTGAAAGGAACATTTTGATGATGCTGATGGCTTTAGTTGCTTAGATGTTTTTAGAAAACGGCTAGTAGGTAAAATCGGGAATATTTTAAAAGGATTCTGCTGTACGTTAACTCAGTTTTTTTAACATCTCAACACAGCCGTCCACGTCCAAGGTAAGCTGCAAAGCCCTTAATGGCTTTGCTGTGGGAGCGCCAGGGTGGCCCCAAGCTGGCAGACCAGGGCCGGGGGAGGGGCAACTACGTCAAGCCACAGAAGCAGGGACAGAGGTGCCTGTAGGAGGGGCCGGTGGGTGGAGGCACCTGGGAGCTTTGGTAAAGACAGTGTCACAGAGTGGGGACAGGGCAGTGGCTGGGTGTCGGGTGACAGAACATAATGTGGCTTGAAATGTCTTCTCATCTGTAAGACAAAACATCGGTGGGTGGGCCAGACCCCAAGGGGCTTCTGTTCAGGGAAGGAGGCCACGGACTAGCAGGTGGGCAATGATCGTCCTTTTTCACACCTAAAGCCCACGGGGAGTTCACGTTGAGGGTTAAGGGGGATCCCTGAAAATCAGCGAGAAAAAGACGGTACCGAGGGAAAAGCGACGGGGACGTTTCCTGGAAGGAACCGGAAGACCAGCAGGCACGGGGAGTGGGGGCCCCGTCCCCACACGCGCAGGGACTGGGACGCCATCGGCGAGTTAGGGAGACGCGAACCTGCCTGTGGCTGGCGGGACGTCACCAGGACATCACAGCGTGCCCGGGCCCCTGCTCCCGCAGCCTCAGCCAGAGCCCTCGGCCGCGTGGGGACCCCGCAGAGACGGTCACGGCGGCATGTCTTCCATGACCGGTTACGTCGTCTCTGTCCTGTGTCTGGTAATCTGTGCCTGAACGCGGGATTCTCCTGTGGAACGGTGGAGGCCAAAGCAGGCGGCTGGCCGCCGGCCCGCAATGGGCACCCTTCTGCCCGGCCGCCGGTGTGGGGTGCAGTCAGTGTTACCCCGTGTGCTGGGCTGGGCTCCTTGTTGCTTCCGTGACCCTCAGATTCCGCATGCTCCTGCGCACCTTGGCTGCGGGCAGGTGCAGCACACCTGAGCCTCACATCTAAGCCGCCGAGGTGGTCTCCGCTCGTGCACTCCCCACAAAGGCCCGAGGCCCAGGTGCAGGCAGGGCGTCTGCTTCAGCCTCCGTGGCGGCAGGTCCTGGGTCCACGGCTCAGGGCTCAGATCTCAGCGACCCTGCCCCCTCCTGCCAGGCCCTGTACCTGGCGGGGTCTTGGGCGGGGTCTTGGGCGGGGGTGTGCGTACAATCGGGGCACTCGCCTGGGTCAGAAGCGTTTGCTGCCCCCAGCCCCCTGAGGAGTCATCTCTGCTGGGTGGGGTCGCTCCCCCTGTGGATCCAGGCTTTGGCTTTGCAGGAGGGAAAGGGTGCTGGGTGGGTCGGGCCAGGTGGCATGCCCGCCACCTCCAGGGGTCCCTGCTCCCCGGGTTCCCGCAGCACCCAAGATGGAGCGCTGACTCCCCTGTGGCCCCACCGCACGCAGCCAGGGGGCTCCAGGCTGCGTCCCATCCCACTTTGGGGGCTTGTCCTGCTCAGCATGAGTCACCGGGTGGCCTTGCGGCCGCGGCTCCCCGAGCTGGAGGAGTGAAGGTTTTGTGTCACTCCCTTGTCCTCCCTGGTAGAGTGCGAGTCATGTCCTCAGGGCCCCCATCCAAAAGGGGAGCGGAGCCACAAAATAGTGTGAGAAACGGGGTTTAATTTGGTTTGAATGGAGGAAGCAGAACCACCTGCTCCCCATTAAGTAAATGGGGAACGCACAAACCTTTGTGTCCCCAGTTGCCAGGAGTCAGCCTGCAGCAGGTGGGCCCGTCAGACCCAGAGTGGACGCATAGTGGCCTGTCTGCGCCGGACGCCCCCAGCTAAACGGGAGGGAGTCAGTCACCGAGGGGCAGGGCCTGGAGATGACCTCGAGTTGGGACGTCGGGGCTGTGGCTGCATCTGCCATCCTGGCGCCTGATTCTGGGGGAGTGTCCCATCTCTGCGCCCCTGGGGCCCTGGGCAGGTTACATTCTCAGGGGCCACAGCCCCTCCAGGACTCGTTGGTCACGCGAGTCCCCTCCTCTGGCAACAGATGACGTTACCATCTTAACGTCAGAGCCGTGTGCGATGGCTATGACGCTGGCGACAGAGGTGAGGACAGGGTGGGCAGCCGCTCCCCCTGGGGTCCCGGCCGCCATGCCATCAGGGATCCCAGGCCGCACGCAGAGGCCGTGGCGGGGTTGCAGCCACAGCCGGCAGCCACCGCGGGCGTGGGTGGGGCCGACGGCGAGGCCGGGCCTTGGCGCTGCTCCGGGCGCGTGAGCAGACACGCGTGGCCGTTGCTTTGTGCCACGGCCTGTCCTTCGTCCTGCCAGCACTTGCCTAACCGCCATCCGTCGACCCGCAAGAACGCATGCCACGAGCCAGTTCTGGATCCAGCCACCAAGCAGCCCCACCTTGCTGCTGGGCCCAAGGGGAGCATTTCAAGGTGGCTTGGAAGGGAGTGGCCGTGCACAGCCCGCTGCCACGGACCCCACTGTCCAGCCAGACACCCGCTTTGTCCAGGGAGCTGTGCCATCCCAGCGTGAGCTGGCAGCAGGATGTGCGGCTGGGGGCTCTGCGGTGATGTGATTCAGCCACACCCCGCTATGGGCAAGCTACAGCAGGCCGGCCTTGTCAGAGGCGCTCCCCACCCGCTGGGAGGCGCATGTGGAGGCCCCTCCCGGCCAGCCCAGCCGTGCCGGGGTGGAGGTGCCCCCCCAGACCGCGGGAGGAAGGGCTGATTGTTTCAGACTGTGTCTCAGGGCCCAGAGTTCACGAGAAGACGGAATCATAAGCAGTGATGGGCCCGTTGTTACTACGATGCTTAAACAACCCCACTGCACACCTGTGTCCCTGAAACGGTCCTTTAGGAGCCCGCTTTAAACAATGCTGGTTTAAGTTAGCATCCGTGTCCTTAGGCACAATGTGATGCTCAGTCTGAAGCAACGCGTCATCTAAAGCAGGTACCTGGGATCCGGCACTGCTGTTCTTCCTGGACGTTGGCCCAGGAAGCCCTGCTTCCTTGTTAAAGAAACAGCACAGATGCGAACTCTCCTCTCCACCGAGCCCCGAGCACTGGCTTCCTCCAGGGGGGCTCTGGAGGCCGTGGGGCTGCTGCCGGCTCCCGCAGCTGCAGCCTCACGTCTGTTCACGCGCGTCTCGTCCACGCACCTTCGACAGCTTTCCCGTGTTTGCACACGGTTCATTCACCTTTCCCTTTCTAAGCCTTTAAGGAAATTCGTATTTAAAAGGTGCAGTTTTCAATTTTGTCCACTAAATTCACTTAAAAACATTAATTTTTACACACTACAGAAATTCTAACATATTTTTAAGTCAAAGAATTCAGAGAGCTTAACGGATTCTGAGTAAACGAGAGGGCAGACACGCCCACGCTGGCCTCGGCGCCCAGGCCCCAAGGACGCATGCGAACACCCAGCCAGAGCTGGGGGCGCACCGAGCTGCCAGAGCCTCCAGTGCTGAGGCCAGCTTGCAGGGACCCCGGTGGGGACCGGCCTGTGGCAGAGCCAGCCTCCGCATGCAGTCCCCTACCCTCTGCGACCAACGCCCAGGTGCAGACTGTCCACCGGCCCGTCCCTCACTCCCCTCCTGCTCCCGCTGGGCTAACGGACTGCTCCCAGTGGCTCCTGCCAGCCTCAAGCCTCCTGTCTGGTCCCGTGGCCTCTACCGCAGGGATGTCTGGGGACTGCCGCCAAGTGCTTTGGACCTGCCCAGTCTAGAGCATTAGCACACGTGCCACGCACGGCTTCACCCAGCAGACCGTGAGGCCGTTGGGCACAGGCTCACACATACGCCACCTCGCAGCACGACCTCATTTGGAGATGGCGGCATCACAGATGAATCGGCTAAGATGAGGTCACCAGGGTGGGCCCTGACCCAGTGACTGCGGTCCTTAGGACAGGTAGTTAGGACACAGGGAGGACACGATGTGAAGACGGAGGCAGAGATCGGGGTGATGCTTCCATAAGGAACCCCAAGATGGCCAGCGACCCCCAGAAGTCGGGAGACGGGCAGATCCTCCGTCCCAGCCTCAGAGTTAGCGGCCTGCCCACACCTGGACCCTGGGCCTCTCCCCGGACTGAGGGACGCGCCTGCTTGTCCGCCTGTGTGGGGTGTTTGCTTACAGCGGCCCCAGCTACTACAGGGGACCAGCCTCACGGCCTTCTGGAACAAGTGAACAGCCCCTTCTCTGTGGCCCCTGTCGTGGGTGTCAGCTGCTCCAGGTGGGGCTGGGCCCTGCTGTGAGCGGCCCACCCGACCACCGTGGCTCACGCGGCAGGGATGAGGGTCTCTCGTGGAAGCCCCCAGGCCCGCATACTGCTGGTGCCTACCTTCCAGGGCGACGGTGAGAGCTGAACGGAGCAAACATTCGCGAACCCCTGGACTCTGCTGAAACGTATCGACGGGAGGCGGGTGAAGAGATGGCGTGAAGCCGTCTCCTGGAAGCGGCCCAGCTCCAGCGAGCGAGCTGGTGCACGTCCGTCCGTGGAGAAGATCTCGAAAACATGGTGAGCGGAAGACGCGTTGCAGAAAGACACGTCTGATGAGACGCTCGTTGAATGACGCACGTGTCGTTCAGGGACGGGGCACGTCCAGGGGTGCACGGGAGCATTACCCCCCCTCCAGGCGGGTGGCTTCTCAGGACGCCACCAGAAAGCCACACAGGCCCCAGCCGCCCTGGTGAGGTCTACACGGAGTGGTTATCACTCTCTCCACCTCTGCAGGTGTTGGAGACATTCCCTTAAATCAGCGATGCGTCATGCTGACGATCCCACAGGCTCGGCCTTGTTCCCGGGGTCTGCCGAGACAAGTGACAAGCCGGGTGGTCTGAGCAGCAGTCGGGGGCCACGAGTCTGCAATGCAGGTGTCGGCGGGGCCGTGCTTCCCGCGAAGGCTCTAGGGGAGGGGCCTTCCTGCCTTTTAGACACAGTGACTCTTGCTGTCACCTGGCTTGTGGCAGCATCATACAGTCCCCGCCTCTGCAGTCACACGGTCTCCCCTTGTCTGAGTCTCAAACGTCCCTTTGCTTCTCCCTTATAAGGATCTTCTGCTTCACACGTGAGGGCACCCACGTCCACCTGGTCACCCTCGGTGCTCTCCACATCTTAGGGCCTTAACCTCATCACACCTGCAAAGACTTTCCTAACGAGGAACATCCTCAGGTGCCAGGGATCAGGACCTGATGTTGGGTGGGGAGGGCACCATTCAGGCCACCTGCCTCCGTCCTCTCGACAAATTGCAGACCCTCAGGTCACCAAATAGAAATCTTCCCCGGGGGGCTACGGCACACTTCCTGTTGGCTTTGCAGTCCTGATGGCCCCTCAGAACCTGGTTTGGAGGGGAGACTGGCTGGGGGCTTCCTGCCACGGCCTGGCAGAGCGAGGCGCTCTGTGGGGCCCCCAGGACGCCCAGGCACAGGACAGCTGGCAGGAAGCAGTTGATGACCGAGGAACTGGCCGTCTCCAAAGGCGCGCCCAGCTAAGCCGGGGGCCATCAGTGCCAAGGATGCAGAGAAAGGGGACTGGACCTCAAGAGAAGGCCTTGCCTGGAAGGCCTGCTGCTCCGAGCGTCCACAGATGGTTGGAGGTGCCGGGGACACGGGGGAGGCAGCTCCCACCGCAGTCCAGCCCAAAAGCTCATAGACGTGGCAGGACTCACTCCTTGCCCGGGCGATTGTCGACAGGCACGGGCCCTGCCCACGCACCCGTGGCTGCGATCGGGCGTGGGTAACAAAGATGGGCCTTCGGGGCTGCCGTCTTCAATGCGTCCTGCAGCCAGGCCGAGGGGTCTCCGGGGAGGTTCGTCCCCACCAGCCTCACGGTGTAGCCCCCGAGGCCGGGCACAGGCTGGGGCGGATGGGGTGCGGCTGGCTCTGAGCCTCACATTGACCCTGAGATCGCCCTGTCTGCTCAGTGGTACCCAAGGACCAGCCTGTGGAACTGCCACGTTGAAAAAGTGCTAAGTATCAGCTTTGCCACTGCAGACCTGTCGGCGAGTCTCGCAATTACAGGGCCGGAACGTGGCCACGGGAGGGAGCTGTTCTGTCCCTCTGCTCAGGGGCTCCCAGGAGCCTGACGGGGAGGAGTAAATGTCTCAAGTTCCTCTAAGGTGTTTTCCTTTCTCGAAGTTACATACAGATACAGTCAGATAGTTCTAGGCGGCTTATAATGAGAAAGATCGGGGCGCCCCAGGCGCCCACTGCTGCAGAGGCAACTGCGTGAACCCCTCCAGCTGGGTCCCACGTGCGTGCCGTGTCTCCCCCCACGCCCGGGCTGCCTCCTCAGGGTGAGGCGTGGTGTCCGTCAGCGCACCTCTGGGGAAGACGCTGTGCGCTTTGCTCGCCTGCCCCTCCCCCGTGCGGACACCATCCTGACTCACTAGCTCTGTGAGTTTGGGGCAGATCGGTATTGGGCCTGCGTGGTTCGGATGAGCGACTCTCGCTCCCAGCTTCGTGTTACGTCCTGTAATCACGTTTCTCACGTCACCTTGCTGTTGCCTCTGCGTGCATTGTTTTCCGGGTACTCACGCAGCCCCACTCCCAGGCTGTGACCCTCTCCATGTGTCTGTAGACCCCGATAGTGTTTGCTTCCCCCAGAAGCATCACTCCTGGGCCCCCCGTCTCTCTCTTGCAATCCGTCTGCCCGGCCCTGTTGTTCTGGAATGTCCCTGTCACTCTGGGGGTGCCCCCCGCACCTGACCTCGACGGCTGGGGCCCGTTTCCTCTTCCTTGCTTCACTCCCTCACGTGGGCAGACACACCGTCCAGTGCTTTCCTCGGCAAAGAGGCCACCTGCCTCGGTGGCGATGTCTGTCTCCCCCCCCACCACTCCACTCTAAAGGGGGCACGTGTCCGCATCGAGGGTACTGGCCGGCACCCCCTCTTCCCTTCACACATGTTCAGGCTCCACTCCTGTCTCCAGGGTCCACACGGAGTCGAGAAGTCAGAGGCCTGTCTCGTTCCTGAGCCCTCCATGTGGGCTGAGCTCCCCGCCCACCTCCGGACGCCTTTGCTGGATCTTTTTGTCTCAAGTGACCTAACATTTCATAGCAGCGTCTCCTGTGTGGGCCTCTCCATCCCTTGCATTGGGTACAAGCTGGACCCCCTCGGTCTGCAGAAGCGAGTCTCTTAGTCTGGGAGTTTCTTGAATTATTTCCTTTTTTTCTTTCTGGAGCTATTACTAGTCAAATATTGGAATCCGAGAAGCTCAAGGAATCCCAAGCCAGAAACACAAAGAAAAATACACCGAGATGCATCATGATTTTTCAAACAATACTGAAAATGAACTAAGAAGACTCATCCTTCCTGACGTTTAAAACTTGCTACAGAGCCGCAAAAATTGGCCCTGGCATAAGGATAAACACTCAGACCGATGGAGCAGAACCGGGGTCCAGAAGTAAACCGTGCATTTACGGCCCACTGACTTTCAACGAGAGCGACGAGGCTGGTCGGGGGGAAGATGGCGTCCATCCAGCGAGGGGCTGTCCACGTGGAAAAGGAATCCGGGCCCCGCCTCCCGCCACGGATGGACCTAATTCAAAATGGACCAACGAGCTAAGACTGCAAGACTCTGGGAAGAAAATAGGGCACATTTTCATGACCCTGGATTTGACAACGAATTCTCAGATACAATTCCAGAAACGAAACAAAAGAAAAAAAAAACGGATAAATTGGACTTCGTCAAAATTAAAAAACTGTTGTATGCCAGAGTTCATTATCGAGAAAGGGAAGAGACACAGATGGGAGATAATGTCTGCACTCACCATCGCGATAAGGGTCTAGCATCTAAAAGATATGAAAACACCTACAACTGAACAACAAAAAACAACCCAATTTAAAAAAGAGCAAAGCACCTGAATACATGTGTCTCCAAAGAATGTAAACGCACAGCCAACAAGCTCACGGAAGGAAGCCCAGTGTCACTGATCGCTAGGGGAATGCAGATCCAACCTGCGGGATGCCACGCCACACCCGCCACCACGGGGAGGAAAGCCGAAGGACTGGCCAGGACGCAGCTTAGAGCCTTCGTGCATTGCTGGCGGGACTGTGAGACGGAACCACCGCCGTGGAACAGTCTGGCAGGCCCTTAAACGATTAACCAGCGTCATCACGTGGCCCAGCGATCCCAGTCCTGGCTTATGCCCGAAACCACTGAAAACAGTCATTCGAACAAAGACTTGCACACGAATGTTCACGGCGCCACAATTCACAACAGCCAGAGTGTCCATGGATTGATGAACGGATAGACAGAACGCACTCTGTCCGCACAGTGGAGGGTTATTCCATTAAAAGGAACGAAGCAGCGCTACCTGCTACGATGTAAACGAACCCCGAAAACGTCCCGTTAAATGAAACAAGCCAGACACAAAAGGCCACAGGCCGTGCGATTCCCATTTATCTGACATGCCCCCAACAGGTAAATCCACAGAGACAGAAGCGGAGGGAAGGGGGGGAGGGGAATGAGCGCCTAACGGGGCGATGACATCATTTCGGAACTTGGCGGATGTGGCTGTAATAAATGCCATCATGAATGTTAATAGATGCCACCGAATCGTACACTTAAAATTTGTTCATTTTAGGTACGTGAATTGGACCTCAATTTAAAAAGCCCCCAAAACTCCAGCCCCTCCAACCCGAGCAGACGCCGGGCTGTGAGGGGGTCGGAGCCAGCGCACGCTTCCTGAGCCGCCGCTCTGGACCCTTCTCTGGAAAACGCACTTCCTTCCGCCTTCAGCCGACTCCACGCTGCCCGGTCACTGCCCAGCCGCTGCCCGGTCACCGCACGGGTGGCTCGCTCGCCGAGTTCTCTACGATTTCCTTGTTGAAACACTCGGAGAGGAAGTCAGGGAAAGCGTGTCTAACCTAATGAACCGCAGGCGCCTTCAGGTCCCGGGGTTAGGAGAGGGAAACCGTGACGTCTCCGCCGGCCCCGGGCTGGGCATCCTGGCGACAGCAAAGTGCCAGCGCCAGGCCAAAGGCACACGCGCTTCTGTCCCGTGTTCACGGGAGCGCACACGCGCTTCTGTCCCGTGTCCACGGGAGCGAGCGCGGGCGGCGCGCGTGGGGCTCAGAGGGGCGCTGCTGCCCCGCCCGCTCTGGGCTCCGGCGCGACCGCCGGCTCTGTCTTCTGGGCCCGCTCCCGGGCGGCCACGAAGCTCAGCAGGTCAATGGCGGTGACGACCCCGAACACCATCTGCCTCTTACTGGACTCCCCGTGGCCGTGGTCTGAGGAGGGAACAAAGCCGTGGGTCACGGGTGCCCAGACACGAGCCGCAGCCCCCAGGCCCTGTCGGAGGCAGAGCCGGACCCGCGGCCCTGAGCCTGCCGTGTGCACGGGCACCTGTGTGCCACGGGATGCGGGTGGCACCCACGCATACCCAGCGGGTGTCACGTCCCCACGTGCGCGGCATGGGTGACGCTGTGGAGAGCAGGGGCCGGCCCCGGAGCCGTGCCCATCGGCGGACGCCCGAGGCCCTCGCGACTCGGCCCGTGCATCTGCCCAGGTGCCAAGGACTCAAACGCCAGCACCACTCACACCTCTGGCCCGGGACTGTCCTCAGGCTCAGAATGACCGCTGACGTGGTTAATTTTGTGCTTCAACGTGACGGAGCCAGAGCGCCCAGATTCGGTGGGACGTCGCTCTGGGTGTTCCAGGATGAGTCCGCACAGGAACGGGAAGGCGAGTAAAGCAGGACCCCGCCCGCGTGGTGGGCCTCGTCCCAGCAGTCGAAGGCCCGGATAGAACAGAGGCTGGCGCTCTGAGTGAGAGGGGACATTCCTGCCTTGGCTCTCCCTGGGTCCCAAGCCTGCCGGCCCATCGTGGCACTTGCCAGCCTGTCACGGCAGCCACGTCCTCATCACAGATCTCTACACGCACATCCTGTCCACTATCTCTCCGGAGAGCCCTGACCGATGCAGTCATCCTGGGGTGCACAGAGCACCGGGTGGACGGGGGCAGGGGTGAGTGCCCAGGTCGCCTTTCATCTCGTCAGACCCCACCCCGGCACCGCCATGGCCATCTGTCCCTAGGGCAGGGGTGGGGGAGCCTGGAGACCAGCTACCCATGTTTCAAGGACTTCTAGGCAAAGGGGGCACTTTGAAGAGGCGCGTCCCCCGCAGGGAAGGGCAGTCTGTGCAGCCTCAGCGACCAGGCTGCCAGTTCCTCAGGGACGCAGGCATGGCGGGTCGGCCACCTTCACAAGGGGCCACGAGTGCTCTGTTATAACCTTGTGGCTCTGCCAACAGCACGGAGCTGCCGTGGACAGCAGCGTCAGGCGTGGCTGTGTCCACGGCATGAGTTACGGACCCCGAAACTGGAATTCGTACCGCGGTTTGGTTAAACGCGTGTAAATGAGAGGTGCAGGGAAGAGACCCCGAGGCTCGGGGTCTGGGACCCGGACGCCCCCTCTGCCCCCGGAGTGTTTCCGGGGGGGCGGCGGGCGTACGTACCTGCCGGCCCCCCGCCTCCTGCCAGGGCCTGGTCCCGCGCTGTGGAGCCAAGGACGGGGCCGGCGTTCGGCTCGGCCCCCAGCGCGCCCCCA